GTTTCTCAGCCCCATTCCTCCCATTCCCTCCTGAGCCCCAAGCTCCAGCCTCTGAAGGCAAGGTGGCTTTCCTGGAGAAGGAAGGGAGGGGAGGGGGCTTCTGGGCTTTACCTCTGTGGCTGAAAGCCTCAAGGATGTGCTGGACTCTGAAGAGTCTGCTCCCTGCCTTCCCAGACCTGTCTCATTGAGGAGGCAGGCTCACACCTTTCTAGGCACCTCCCACTTAACAGCTCTGTTTACTGAGACTGCACACCTCAACTCAGGCTTTTGCCCCCACCTAGACAGTGGTGTGGAGGAGCTAGGCATTACCCCCCCTGCCTCACCCCCCCACGTCCATACTATCAGCCTCCTTCATTGGACTGCCCTTCAGGAACAAATTTGGAAAAAACAAATGAACACCAAAGTACATCAGACCTTCCTCTGAAACCCTGGACTTAGAGGTTTGGGGGCTTAGGCTTCCCCTGGGCTCCCTGGGCTGTGGGTCTGTGTCCCTTTCCCCTGCTTCCCAAGGGTGGCTGCCTAGGCTTGTGGGCTGTGCCTCTAGTGCCTGACCTTGCCGTAAGTGGGGACTGTGGAGGGGAGCCAGCCCTCTTGGGTCTGTGGGTGGGACTCCCCGTGCAGTGGCCCTTTGCTGACATCCCTGCATCCAGCCCTGTCATCTCCTCACCCTAGCTAACTCTACCACCTCTCACTGGGGGGGGGAGGGGTTGGCCTTGCTTACTGTCCTGCAGGCCTTGGAAAGAAGGCGGGGGCAGGGAAGCAGCTACCTCCATGGAAATGGCAGCGGTCCCAGAGGCCGATTGAACACTGGATGTCCTCCTGAGCCCTCTCTGCTGCAGCCCGTCCCCTCCCAGGGCTGAGCTCTGCCACACTCAGAGTGCCTGAGAGGTTTGTGGTGACTGGGCCTCGGGCTCTGTGGTCGCCAGGCCACAAATGGATGCAGTGTTATTAAAAGAGAGACTATCACCTCCAGCCCTGCTCTGCTTTTTGGAGGGGGTCGGGGTGTTGGCTGGCAATGGGCCAGGGCTTGCAGAAAATCAGAACTTCAGAAATGTCCAAGCCTGTCCACCAAAGTCCAACCCAGACCTGAGCTGAAAACCCCTCTGTAGCCCAGAGGACCTTGGACAGGTCACAGCCACCCTGGGCCTCCTTGTCTGCACCTGTGAAGTGGACCACCACATCTGCGATGTTAGGCAAGTCGCCTGCTTTCTCTGGGGCTCAGTTTCCTGATCTGAAAGGCAGGCAGTTGGACTAGGTGACTTCTTAAGATCCCTCCCTGCTCTCTGTAAGCTCCGATGTGAAAGGACAGCTTGTGGGGGACAAGGCCTGAGAGGGCTGAGGAGGCAGAGAGGGACCCCTGCCCGCTCCAGTCTTAAAACCAGAGCACAGGTGTTAATTCCTCCTTGTCCATGTGTCCCCAATGCCCAGAACAACAAATGAGTGAAGAAGTATTTATTAGATGCTTGCTATGTGCCGAGCACTGTGGTTACAAGTTGTACCGAGCCTTCATGTAGGTTTTTAAGATTTGCAAAGCACTTTGCATGTCATCATGTGATTCTCAGAGAAACCCTGTGAGGTGGGTGCTGTTATTATCCTCATTTTACAGATGAGGAAACTGAGGCACAGAGAAATTAAGTGACTTATCCACAATCATATAGCTCCTAAGTGTTTGAGTCAGGATCTGAATTCAAGTCTTTATGATTCCAAGGCCATGCTCTCCAGTAGACATCTAACTGCCCAAATCAGAAATCAGAAAAGACAATTCCTTTTCTCAAGGAACGTGAGTCCTAAAGAAGTTTCAGCTGCAGCGTGGATAGAAAGGCCCCGTGGTTACTGGGGGTCACCAGGGGGAAGATTGCAAGGCCCAGGGGTTCTTAAGGCGCATTGCCAAATCGGATGCACCCAATGCCTGGGGGGTTCTGGAGGACCTTTGGGTGCCGTGGTAGACTAATGGTCCTCCATTTTACTGGGAGGACAGTACTCGGTGAGTCCTTATTAAAGGGGTGTCAGTAGCCAGAGTTATCCCATGGTGATGGTGGTGGTGGTGTGGTGGTGGTGGTGTGTGTGTGTGGTGGTGTGTGTGTGTGTGTGTGTGTGTGTGTTTGGAGGGGGGTAGCTGGAGGGGCCTAGCCCATGATCGTTGGGAAGAAGAGAAATGAGCCCAAGGGTCAGAGTGGATCCAGGGCCTGGGCTCCTCCCAGGGAGTGATTATGGGGGTCAGCATCCATCCAGTCAGTCAGTAAACATTATGTGCTTACTGTGTGCTAGCTACTGGGGCATACCAAGAAAGGTATAAGCTAGTCACCCTTGGAGCTTGCAGTCTGGTGGGGGAGATAACGTGCAAATCGTATGTACAAACAAGCTATGGACAGGAGACACTGGAGAGAAATGACAGGGAAGGTATTAATGTTAAGGGGGATCAGGAAAGATTTCTACAGAAGGTGAGATTTTGGCTGGTGTTTCCCGGGAAGCCAAGAGGCAGAAATGAGGAGGGGAATATCCCAGGCATGGGAGACAGCTGGGAGGAGGTCGTGGGGGAAGGGCATCCATCCCTCTGGGACTGTTGCAGCCTCTGGCTCACAGGCACACTCCGTAAAGGCTTGTTTCGTTGATTAATGCAATCTAGAATGAGAAGGGATTTCAGATGGCCCATTGGAGAGAGTATTGGCCCCAGAGGCAGGAGGACCTGGATTTAAATCCTGCCCTTCTGTACTTGCAGTCTGGGCAAGTCACTTAACCCCACGTCTGCCTCAGGTTCCTCATCTGTAAAATGGGGTAATCATAGCATCTGCTTCTCAAGGTTGTTGTAAGGATCACATGAGATAATGCTTGTAAAGCGCTTTGCGAACCGTAAAGCATTATATAAATGCTGGTCACTATTGTCACTGTTATTACCTACTATGATCCCCTCACTTTTGTTTTTTTTAGGCAGTTGGGGTTGAGTGACTTGCCCAGGGGTTACACAGGTAATACATGTCAAGTATTTGGCCTGAGGCCAGATTTGAACTCAGGTCTCCTGGCTTCTGGAGCGGTGCTCTATCCACTGTACCACCTTGCTGCCCCACCCCCTTACTTTTAATGGAGAAAGAGATGGTCATTGGCTTCCTAGGTTCATACAGCTCATTTCAGTTTCAGAGCCAGGATTTGAACTCAGGTCTAATAATCAGTGCAGAAATGTTTACAACTCTTTCCCTAGCTCTTTTAGTTGTGACAGCTCCTCTCGTCTCCTCTCCTCCCTTTTCTCTTTCCTCTCATCTCCCTTTTTTTCTCTCCTCTCCCTCTTCTCTCTCTCTCTCTCTCTCTCTCTCTCTCTCTCTCTCTCTCTCTCTCTCTCTCTCTCTCTCTCTCTCTCTCCCCTCCCCTCTTCTTGCCTCTCCTTTTCTCTCCTTCCCTTTTTCTCTCCTCTCCTCTCCCCTCCCTCCCCTCTCCTCTTGCTCTCCTCTCCTTCTCTTCTCTCTCTCTTCTCTCTCTCTCTCTCTCTCTTTCTTTTCTCCCCTTCCCTTTCTTCTGTTTATTGAAGAAATCTTTGATTCTTCCTCATCCTCAAACCTAGCTCCAAGTTTTCTATCATTCTCTTATAATCTAAATACATTAGCCTCCCCTGCTTGCCCTTCCCCGAGGCTGACAGCAAGCCGCACTGTCCAGTGCTGCTTGGGCATTCGCTCGGGGATGGAAATGGAAGGGCCAGGGAGGTCACCTGGTATAACTCATTCCAAAGAGGGGAAAAGTTACTCAGAGGGGGGGATTGGACATGGGAAGTGAGAGATGGATCTTGACCTCCAAACACTGCCTGTCTGAGGCAACTGATTCCTTACCGAGCATTTATTGGGCACCTACTATATGCCAGACACTATACTAGGCACTGGATAGAAAGACATATGTACCCTCGAGGAGGTTACATTCTAATGGGGAAGACAGCGTGAATCTGTAATATCCATGTAACATAACAATGAATCCGAGGTTTGGAAAGGAGGGCACTAGTAACTTGGGGGAGCAGGAAGGGTTTTGTGTGGAAGGTGGTGTTTGAACTGAGTCAGGAAAGGAGTGAGGGGTGCTGTGAATTGGAGGTGGGGAGGCAGTGCCTTCCAGGCATGGAAGATAGACTTGCAAAGGCGTGGAAGAGAAAGATAGAGTTTTGTCCGGGAGGAACAGTGAGAAGCCTGGAAAGGTAGGGACATTTTGTGAAGGACTTTCAAAGCCAGAGTTTATAGTGTATTCTAGAGGTAATAGGGAGCCATCAGAGTTGATAGAGTAAGGGAGTGACATTGGTCAGACTTGTGATTTAAGAAAATCGCTTTGGCAGCTTGAGTGAAGGATGAGTTGGAGTAGGGAGAGACTTGAGGTGCGGACACCAAAAATACAAGTAAGAGGAGATGAGGCTCTGGAATGAGAGAAGGGGATGGATGCTGGTAGAAATGCCAAGATTTGGTACCTGAGGGGGCAGCTAGGTGGTGCAGTGGATGGAGCACCAGCCTGGGAGTCAGGAGGACCTGAGTTCAAATCCAGCCACAGACATTTGACACTTACTAGCCATGTGACCCTGGGCAAGTCACTTAACCCCAATGCCTAGCCAAAAACAAAAAGATTTGGCAACTGAATGGAGGGGGATGAGGGAGAGTGAGGAGTTGAGAATAACGCCCTCACAGCCCTCTCTTCTTGGTGTGGATGGTGCCTCCAAGAGGCAGTGAAAAGAACAGGATTAGGAGTCGGAGCCTGGGTTCAAATTTCGATCTTGCCTCTTACTGTGTGTGTAGCGGGCAGCTAGGCGGCACAGTGGATGGAGGAAGACCTTTGTTCAGATCCCACCTCAGACTTCACTAGCTGTGGGGACCCTGGCTTGTGCCTGCCTCAGTTTCCTCAGTAGTAATAGGAGATGATAGCAGCAGCCCGCCTCCCGGAGCTGTTGTGAGGATCAGATGAGATAATATTTGTTAAAAGCACTTAGTCCAGTGCCTGGCACATAGTAGGCGCTTAATAAATTGTTTCCTCCTTTTCTTTAGTTTTTTTTTTATTGACATTCCTTGCCTCATGTGATGATTTTGAGGAAAGTGCTCTGTAAAGCATGGGTGTGGTTAATATCCGCAATAAAAAGTCATCTCGAAGGCAGGACTATTGTTTTTTTATCTTTGCATCTCCAAGGCTTTGCACAGAGCAGGGGGACAGGGATTAGACCGGGGCTTTTATTGATATAGGGAATTGTCTGAGAAATTCCAGGGTTCAGTGCAGGGTCATACAGGCAGCCTGTGTCAGAGTCAGGATTTGAATCCAGGTTTCCCTGTGTGTGAGGCCAAACCTCTATCCACTGTGGTTAGTAACATATTTATTGCACTTTGAATGAATGGCATCCTCCACTGGGAGTTTCCCATAATCCTTAGCTTTAAAACGTTGCATCCTCCAGCACCTCTGCACTTCCCATCCATAGCACCACAGCGCCCCTGATGTCGAGCACTCTTCCCTGCAGGAAGTAGGGACTCAGCCCGTAGTGGTTCCTGTTAGGGAGGGGAAGAGGGGAGGATTTGACTCCAGAATTTTCTTCTCTCCAGTGCTCTCTCCAGCGTCAGGGATTTCAGCAAAACCTATTTATTTCCCATGTTTCCCTGAGCCTAGAATGGCTACTCCATGAGATGCAGCTAGAGCGAGGGGTGCTTTCCCCAGCCTCCCTTTGCCACTGGGAAAACATTCCTCCTGGGGCCATTGAAGATCTTTGGCAGAAAGAGAAATGAAAAGACACTAAAGAAATAACAGACCCAGATCACCTTTCATAAATAGATGTATAATTGGATCTTTTTTTTTCAATGAAAAGGTTTGGACATTAGAAAAATGAGTAGGGGCTGGTATTGACTTCCCAACCCTGGAGAAGGTAACCAAGGTGGAGGGTGGGCTGTGGAGAAGAAACTTAGATGCTCCTTGCTCCCCTGTCCAGCCTTGAGCCTTCTCTTTTGACCTTTTGGCCCCTCTTCTAATCAGAGGCAGAGGTGGGGGCACCAAGTGAAAGTCCCATGACCCATCTCCTCCACTCCCTCCCACCTGGCTCAGCTCTCAATTCCTGGGGGTTCCCAGGTTTCTGTGGGGCTGATGGAAAGGGTGGATTAAAGTGGGGCTAAGTAGGTGTCTCAGAACAGGGTCAGGGTTCCCCTTTTCCCCCTGTAAAGCCAGGAGTTCACAAGTGGCTGAGGCCCTCTCCCTAGCCCTGGCCCCCCAACCAGAAAGAGGTCTGCCTCTTCCAGCTCCATAGATAGGTACCCTCCAACAACAACAATAGAACAGCAATAACAATAATAATAATGATGATGATGATAAAATAAGGCACTGGATAAAACTCCAGCCCCAAGAAGGGGGTGCGTGGCAGGGTGCCGGAGGAGGGCGGTGGGAGTGGGCTCAGCTAGTTTTCATTCCCAGCTGCTCTTTAAGCCCTTGCAGCTGAGCCAAGCTGATGTTGCTGCCACCACACACGATGACCACCACGCTGGACAACTTGGCTGGGAGCTTCCCCTCGCCCTGTAGCTTTTGTACTGCACCACTGTAGATAGCTGCCAGAGCCGCCCCACACGCCGGCTCCACCAGGATCTTCTCGTCGTCTGCAGGAGCCAGAAGGCAAAGGTTAGGGGCTGAGGGCAGGGGCGTGGAGCCTGGGGGAGCCAGCTGGCTCTTAAGGAAGTCCTTGAACCAGGCTGCACAGTGACACCAACCTCCTCAGTCAATGAGCACGCATTTATCGGCACTTACTAAAATACAAAGAAAAGCGAAAAACAAGCAGTCTTTGCCCTCAAAGAGGTTTACATTCTAAGTAAAAATAGATGAGCTGTGGAACAGCAGGAAGGTACGGAATAAGGAGCTGAAGCTGGCCATCCCAGCATCCTAAGACTAGCCCTGGACTAAGCACTGTGTCAGCCAGGCTAGTGACGTCTTCCTTCCACGTCAGATTCTACACCTGATTCCAGGCTTTGCCCACCCAAACCCCGAGCCTGTCTTTTCAGCTCCCTTTTTCAGAGCGGTCTTCCATCATCAGAACGGAAGCCCCTTGAGGGGACTGTTGTTCCACTTATACTTGTATGCCCGGCACTCGGCAGAAGGCCTGGCACTTCGTACGTACTTAATAAATGTCGACTGACTTGTTGACTCAAAGGATTGGATCAGTGATGGCTCGGTCAGGTCCTGGTCCAGGCTGGAGGGGAACGGTTTGGGGTGGGGGCCTCGCTCGTGATCCTCCCTCCGCAGAGCATGGGCCTGCTTGCCTCTCTGGCTTCCTGTAAGTCCCACTAAGATCCCATGTTCTACAGGAAGCCTTCCCCACTCAATTCCAGCGCCTTCCCTTTCTTCATGATTTCCTATTTACCCTGTATAGATAGAGCTTGTACACATTCCTTATCTCCCCCATTAGACTGCAATCACCTTGAGGGCAGGACCTGGTTTTTTTTTTTGCCTCTTTTTGCATCACTGGCGCTTCACACAGTGTCTGACACATAGTAGGTAATTAAATGTTTATTGACTGACTATAGGCAGTGGTGTCCTAGAGTTGGCTGATTGTTAAATTTTCCATGTAATCTTTTCCTTCATGGAAATTGGCAGACACAACTAATCATAGTTTGATTTTTTTGTTGTTTTGTTGATTATCTGGACTTGCACAGTGATGGGAAAATGTTAATAATGCAGATGAAACTTAATTGTGTGTATATGTAGGTGTGTGTGTATGCATATACATATATACAAACACACACATACAGATAGCTAGTCTGGAGATCCAGTGGTTCAATGTTTCCCAGCACATCCTTGCCTAGAGGCAAGGCCTCTGTGCTCCCCCAATCCCACCCTCCCCCATCTCCTGCCCTCATCTCGGGGTTAAGACAGAGCCTGGCACTTACCCACAAACTTCTCAATAGCTCCAACTGCTTCTTGGTCTGTGATCACTTCAGAGAAGATGGGGTGTTCCTGGGTCAGCTTCAGGGCCTGAGCCCCAACAGTGTTTACCCCGAGGGCTTTAGCCACACTACAGGAGGTGGAGAAAAAAGGCGCTGGAATCAGATGGACTTCCAGCCACACTTTTAAAGAGTGTTTCCAACACAACCACCATGGAGGTAGCACCTGGTGGTGCAAAGAGGCCGTGCTTTCCATGGTAAGTGTGCTCGTGTAAAGGGTGAGTGGTGTGAATTTTTGTAAATAGTAATACTTTATAATTAATTGATAATTATTAATCATTAATTATCAAGAAGCAGTGGCACATAGTTAGGAGAGAGTGGAGTAGACCTAGGTTCAGCGTTCTCCTCTGGATGTATGCAAATCTCTTATCCCCTTCAACCAGCTTAGTAGAGGGTATTTCCTCTCCTGGGAGTTCCTTATATCAATGAAATCACAAACAAAAATACTGCCACTAAGGGACACCATCCAGCGCTTTACATACGTCATCTCAGTGATTCACAACAAGCATCATCCCCATTTGGCAGAGAAGAAACTGAGACTCAGGTGAAGGGACTTGGGTTGTAGCCCCAGTGACAGTAAGTGCCAGAGGCAAGCTCTGCAGGTCCCTCAGTCTATCCACTAAGCCACAACTCTATTCTAAAGGCCCTAGGCAGGTTTCCCGCCTCTTTGAGGAAAGGGAGCCACGTAGTCACACTTGATCATCCTTGCTTGGCTCAGAATTCCAAGGGTGTGGAGGTTGGGAGGTAGGGCAGGCTAGCATTCAAGTGTCCTCTACCCTTGGTTTCACCCTTTTGGTCAGGGACCAAACCACCAGGATCAAGGGTCATGAGATACGGGCATGGAGGGAGGGGGAAACTGAGTCAGTGGTCCATACTTTGGTGGGAGTGGAGATGGTGGATAGGTCCTGGACCTGTGATCTCTTTGGAATAGGCAACCTTCTTCTGCATGTTGGGACCTTAGACATCACTGAGAGGTTGAGATCACTTGTCCAGGGTTAATGAACTAACAAATATTTATTAAGCATCTACTTTGTGCCAGGCACTGTGCTAAGCTCTAGGAATACAAAAGGAGGCAAGAGAAAGTTCCTGCCCTCAGGGAGTTTATAATCTAATGGGAGAGCAAGCAAACAAAATATATACAAAGCAAGCTATATACTCAATAAATAGAAGATGTTTAACAAGGGGAAGGCCCTGGAGAGAAGAGGGACTGGGGAAGGCTTCTGGGTTAGGGTGGGATTTCCAGGAAGGTCAGTAGTTACAGTGGAGGAGGGAGGGCATTCCAGGCCCTGGGGGATGATGTATCAGAGATAGGATTTGAACCCAAGTCTATTCTTTCTATCCCGGAGTCTGGCTTTCCATCCACTGTGCTATGTGGCCTTTTCAGGACGGGAGAGAGAACTCTGCATTTAGAGTCAGAAGATACAGGTTCTAATCCTGGCTCTGTCACTTGCTTGGGTGAATTCTTTAATTCTCCTGTACCTCTGTTTCCAAATTCATAAAAGGATGGGGTTCACCTGGATCGATAAGATACCTCCCAGCTGTGATCCAGAGGCTTTCTAGAGAGCAGTGGTGTTTATGCCCAGCGGTGAGAACAGGGAAGCCGCTCACTCCTTTTCTAGCACAGGAGTTCAAGCCCCTGGATGCTTGGCCCGGGGCCCTGAGCTCCTGTAGCTGCTGTCTGTCAGCATCCCTTGACTCCACCTAGATGGTGCCTAAAGTCAGGAAGACCAGAGTTCAAATCCAGCCTCAGATACTTCCAGCTCTGCCTCAATTTCCTCAGTTGCAAAATGGGATCATAATAGCACTTACCGTGAAAGGTCGTTGTGAGGATCAAATGAGATAATAATATTAAAGTGCTTAGCACGGCATAGTAGGTGCTTAATAAATGCTCATTTCCTTCTCCCTCTGTCCCTTACCTGGTAATCTTGGGAAGTGTGACTAGCTTGCCAGCTTTGATGGCTGCATTGAAACTGTGGGCCCCGTGTGTCTCCATTGCCACGATGGGCACGTCCTTCCAGCCCACCTCCTCCAGGCCCTGCGCCACACCACACAGGAGGCCGCCACCACCTACAGACAGAGCGATGGCCCCCGGCTTCCCTGGAAGGTTCTCTTTCAGCTCCTTCACGAGGGTGGTGTGGCCTTCCCTGGAGGGTGGGAATCAGGAAGTACAATTAGCTCGGAGCTGGAAGGGCCTTCTGGACACCTAGTTCAGTCTGTACCAGAGGCACAACGTACCACCGACCTTCACATGAAAACCTGCGTGGCTGGACAGCTTACTACCTTCCAAGGCAGCCCAAGTCCACTTCTGGACACCTTCCATTTTCAGGATGTTTTTCACTTTTGAACATGGCCAATGTGGGAATTTGCTTTTCTTTGCTATGAATATTTGTTACAAAGGGGTCCCCCCCCTTTTTCATTGGGGGAGGGAAAATAAATGCTTGTTAATTTAAAAATCCATAATAATTCAAAAAATTATTTATTTGTTCATTTGTGGCATTCTTCAAAAATTCATTATGTATTTGTTTCAGTGCTCACTTTTAAAATTTGTTATTTATTTTTACCATTACCTCTTTAAAAATTTTGAGTTCCAAATTCTCATCCTACTCGAGCCTCTTTCCCCACCATTGAGAAGGCAGCTATTTTGATATCTGAGTTATACGTATGAGATCATGCAAAACATGTTTTCATATGTATATAAATTTAATTTAATTTAAAAAACCAAACCTACGTTGCTCCTGAAGTAGTCCTTTATCACACATAACCACGTGAGAGCCATCTCCTGACTCCAGGCATTTTTCCCAGCTGTGCTCTGTGCCTGGTGTGCTGTCCCTCTCATCTCTGCCTCCTGGCTTCTTTCAGGTCTCAGCTAAAGTCCTGCCTTCTGCCTTTCTTTGTCCTTAATCTTAGCACCTTCTCTCCGAGACTTTTCTGAATTTAGCTTGTCTCCATCTTGTCTGAACATGGTTGTCTGCATGTTTTTTTTTCCTTCTTGCTGTTAGACTGTGAGCTTCTTGAGGGGAGGAACGGTTTATTTGTTTTTGCCTTTCTTTGTATCCCCAGAGCTTAGCAGAATGCTTGGTATACACTAGGTGTTTAATAAATGCTTGTTGACTGACTTTTGGTATATTGGGGAAAAGTCCTGATGAAAGTTAGAGGACCTGGGTTCAAGTCTTGCCTCTGATTGCTTACTACCTGTATGGCCTTGGACAAGTCCCTTAACTTCCCAGGGCTGAGATTCCCCATGATGTCCCTTCCGACTCTTATGATTATAGGATCTTATGATACATGTGATCCTCTATGGAAAACCAAATTAATAATAACAGTGTATATTTATATTGTGCTTTAAGGTCTGCAAAATGCTTCACAAATTTGATCATGTTTGATACTTAACATTGTGATTTAGGCGTTGCTGTCATCCCCATTTTACAGATTAAAAGAAGTAACAACTGAGGCAACCATGTCTGAAAGTGTATGTCTCATTCTTCACCTTGAGTCTACATCACCTAGAGATAGCTGGGTGACTCAGTGGTTAGAGCACTAGACCTGGGATCAGGAAGACCAGAGTTCAAATCTGGCCTCAGACACCTATTAGTTGTCTGACCATGCGCAAGTCTCTGAAATCTCTGTCTGCCTCAGTTTCCTCATCTGTAAAATGGGGATGAGATAGCACCCTCCTTCCAGGGTTGTTGTGAGGAAAAAATTACATAAAGTTTGTAAAGCACTTTATGAAGGTTAGCTATTATCGCCTGTGTCAGGAGGTAGGGGAAATGACTTTTCCAGGGTCATGTAGCTGCTAAGTATCTAAGGCAGGATTTGAACCCAGGCCCAGTGCTTTATCCACCACACTATGCTACCTCCTCAGACTTGATTTCCCTTTCTGCTCTTTCCAAACCCAGCCCCAATCTGTCTCTTCTCCAGAGCCTGGACCTGATGGCCTCTCAGAACCCTTCTGAGATCCTATGTTCCTACTGGACTGTTTTATAATTAGTGTCAAGGGTTCTATGAGGTGAAAGGTATTACTAACTAGGACAATCAGGGAAATCTTCCTGGAGGGGGCAGTGTTTGGATTGGGCTTCAAAAAATTGGTAGAAATTTAGCAGGGGGAGGAGGGTGAAAGAGGAGCATTGTAGGCATGGCCATGGCCAGTTGGGGTTGGGAGAGAGTGGAAGGGTGGTCAGGTCTGTGCTTTAGGAAGGTGACCAAGTGGAGGATGGATTGGAGTAGGGAGAGACTTGAGGCAGACTCTCCCCCCAGCCCTGTCCCCTGCCCCAGCAGGTGTGAGATAATGAGGGTCTGGACCAGAGGGGTGGCTATGTCAGAGGAAAGAAGGGGCCATATTTGAGAGATTTTGTGAAGGTAGACTTGACAGGCCTTGGTACCATATTGGATATGTGGAGTGAGAGATAGTGAGGAGTCCAGGGTGACTCCTGGATTGGGAGCATGAGGAACTGGGAGGATGGTGATGCCCTCTCCAGTAACAAGGAAGGGTTTAGGGGGAAAGATAATGAGTTCTGCCTTGGACATGTTGAGTTTCAGATGTCTATTGGAAATCCAGTATGAGATGTCTGAAAGACAGTTGGGAAAGTGAGACTGGAATTCAGGAGAAAGATTAGGGCCGGATGAGTAGATTTGAGAAGCATCAACCCAGAGAGGGTCCTTGAGCCCAACCTGGGAAGTACCTACCAGATGAGGGGGTCGTCGTAGGGAGACACGTAGATCCAGCCGGGGTTGTTCTTGGCAAGATCTTTCGCCAGTTTGAATGCCTCGTCCAGCGTCTGGGAATCATCAAGGGACACAGGTGAAAGAAGGCTTTTTTCTTTGAGATCCCACTAGCTGGACATTTTATATAGGGTCCCATCTGACTCCCTGACTTCACATGCTCCTCCCTCTCCAATCCTCCACATTGCTGCCAAACGGATATTCCTTTTTTTTGGGGGGGCAGTTGGGGTTAAGTGACTTGCCCAGGGTCACACAGCTAGTAAGTGTCAAGTGTTTGGTCTGAGGCAGATTTGAACTCAGGTCCTCCTGACTTCAGGGCCGGTGCCCTATCCACTTCACCACCTAGCTGCCCCTTAAATAGATATTCCTAAAATGCAGTTATGATGTCATGCTCAAGAAACTCTAATGGCTCTCTAGTACTTCTAGCATAAAGTACAAATTAGGCAGCCCACCCCTTATACATCACACCACCAACATGTATGTGTCCACCTCTCAGGCACTTACCTCACCTACGACCTTGACCATGGCACCCTCAGCCTTGAGCTTCTGGATGGTGAGAGGAGGTGTCGTGTTAGGCACGACGATGGTGGCAGGGATGCCCAGCTTCCTGGCAGCATAGGCTGCAGCCATGCCGGCATTGCCCGCTGTGGGTGGTTCGTTGGGGGAAGAAGGTTCGCATTGTTTCAGGCAGACCCCAGCGTGGTCTATGGTTATTCTAGAGACCCGACCTCTCCTTCCTTTTTCTCTTCTAACCTGAGACTCCTGAAAAGACTTGATGGGAAATTAGGGCTTAATGTCCTGCCCAAGGTCCCATTGAACTGGGCCCAGCCAGGTCCAGATTTCCTGAGTCCTAACTCAAATCAGCCCATGGCTCATCAGTCTTTCCCTAATCCTAGGAGAAGAAAGATTCCCAATTTGGGAGTCAGAATCATTGGGTTGCAATCTGCTATTTACTGGCCTAGGAGTCATACCCTGTTATGTGATACTAGTTAAGCAAGACATATGTTAGTAAGTCGTATGCTGAATGGAAGCATAGTGGGTAAAGAGCTGGCTTTGGAGCTAGAGAGACCTGAGTTCAGGTTTGACGCATCCTGCCAGTGAAACTGTAAATTGTAGAGCAGGTCCTGACCTGCAGCACTAGAGACCTTTTTTACCAATGAAATCACAGGTTCAGTCTCTGTCTCTGTCCCTATGAGCAAGTCAGATAATCAATCTATCAGTCAATCAATAAACATTTACTAAGCACCTACTATGTGTCAGACACTTTTCTGGGTCTCAGTTTCCTCATTTGTTAAGATAAAGGGATTGAACTAGATGAGGATCCTCTGTGCCCAGGGGCCTTCCCCTCTTCTCTTGCCCATGAAATCCTGATAGGTGGGGGCCTGTTCCATGGATAGGAACCTGGGAACCCTGCCCCAATGGGAAACTTACCTGAGGAGCAGATGAAATGCTCACAGCCCCTCTCAGCCCACTGTGGAGACAAGGAGAGAGATAGGTGGATTAGGGCAGGGGGAGGCATCAGGAAACAGTGGAAAGAGCTAGACTGAGAGTCAGAGGAAGGCTCTGACATTCCCTGTTCTAAAGGCCCTTCCCAGCTCTGACATTCTCTGTTCCAAGGCCCCTTCCAGTTCAGCCATCCCCTATTCTAAGGGCCCTCCCAGCTCTGACTTTCCCTGTTCTGAGGCCCCTCCCAGCTCTGACATTCTCTCTCCTGAGGTCTTCCCTGCTCTGACATTTGCTGTTCCCATGCCTTCTCCTCCAACTCCAAGGTCCCAGGGTTCTTGTGATTCCCCTTTTAGCACCTCCCTCTCTTAGCTGTGCAGTGACTTCATTTGACCCTGCTTATCCAGGGCTCTCCAAGTAGCCAGAAAGTACCCTGAGCTCTAAGTCCCAGCCCACCCTTTACTCCCCACCTCCCAGGCAAACTCCTTTTCCTTATTTCCTACTAATGTATCTAGAGGAGAGGATACGCTAAACTCATCCACACTAAACACGAATAATTACATTCATATGATGCTTAATATCCTGACAACAATCCAATTAATTAGGTACTATTATTGTCCCCATTTTACAGATGAGGAAATTGGGGCTGACAGGTTATAAGACCCTTGCATAGGGTCATTAGTGGCTGAGGCAGGATTTGAACTCAGCTCTTCCTGATTTCAGGTCCAGCATGCGATCCCCTATACTATCCAATGGCCTTCCCGGGGAGGGCTATGCTTTTTAACAGAGGAACTGGGAGATGGAAAGGTCTTAACTTAAAGGAATGACATTCTAATGGTGGATCTTGGGGCACTAAGCAAGCAGTGAGAGAACAGCTTTGGGGTAGGGATTTTCCTGGCACCCACCAGATTATATCAGGTTGTCCCCTAGGGCTTTTAGACAAAAGATTGATGTTGGTGCTGGTCTGTCCTAGGGTAACGGCGGTATCTGCAAGCGCAAGGCCACACTGATGGGTCGTTTCTTTTGGACCCTTTGTGGACCTCCTTCCTCCTCTGAAGACACTTCCTTCATCTCCCTCCAAAGGGCCCAGGGCAGTGCCTGCTGCTGCCATCTCTGGCACCTCCCTCTCCTTGCCCCTTCCCTTCTCACCGTCTTGCACAGGTGTCCGATGCCCCGGATCTTAAATGACCCTGAAGGCTGAGCGTTGTCCATCTTGAGGTAGACGGTGGTGCCTGCCACCTTGGACAGGGCCATGCTGTCCCTAATGGGGGTCTTCACGTGCAGAGGCTGCTGAGACATGGTCACTGCAGTGGGGGAGAGAAAAGTGAGGGCAAGGCAGAAAAAATCTGTCTGACCTGGAGAAACCAATGGGATCAACCCCATTTTACAGATGAGGAAACTGAGGCAGGTAGCGGTCAAGGGACTTGCCCTGGGTTACACAGCTACTAAGTGTCTCAGGCTGGGTTTGAACCCAGGTCTTCCTGACTCCAGGCCCTGTGCTTTATCCACCAGGCCACCTAGTTTTTGGAGGCACTGGATGGCCTTCAAGGTCCATCCTAGTTTTTAATCTAGGATTCTATGATCAATAATAGGTGAACCTGGGTTCATTTTCTGCTTCTTACTACCTATGTAGCAAATCACAATCTCTTTGGGCCTCAGGTTTCCACATTTCTAAAATCAACATCATAATAGCTCTCATTTCTATAGTCCTTTGAAGTTGGCAAAGTTCATTAGGAAAATGGAACAAGAATAAGCATTTATTAAGTGCTTACTATATACCAGCATTATATTAAGCGCTTTACAAATATTAGCTCATTTCATCTTTACAGCAATCCAAGGTAGGCCAGATTTTACAGATGAGGACACTGGGGCTCCGGGGTTTAGGTGACTTGATCAGCTTCATACAGTAATAAAAGTTGAAGGCAGGATTTGAACTCAGCTCTTGCTAAGTCCAAGGTCAGTCCTCTATCCACTGTACTCTAAAGTCCCCTTCAGCTGTGATGTTGTCTTTAAAATGCTATGACTATAAGAGCTAACCATTAGAGGAATTCTAGTTTTAGAGCTGGAAGGGACCCAGGCCATGGAGCCCAGTCCCTCCCCTTTTACAGAAGAAGAAACTGAATCTGAGAGAAGGGAAGGAACTTGTGGGTTTTGTACAAGGGTTAGTTGCCTGAGATACATGGCAGGTACATGGAGAGCTGGGACCAGGCTGCCCCATAGAAATACAAGACATCATCACCATCACTGTCATCTGAGCAAATAAACCTCAGACTGGACTTTTGTCAGATCAGCTTAAGCTGACGCATGCTAGTCCAAGCTTTCAACCTCTCCTATCAGGGGAGAGAGGGGAAGGGGGTGCTCAATCTATCATTCCCCATCAGAGGCAGCTGTTGGTGCCATAGTGCATAGGGGACTGGGTCTGGAGTCAGGCTGACCTGAGTTCAAATCTAGCCTCAGCCATGTACTAGCTGTGTGACCCTGGGCAAGTCGTTTGGCTGCTGTCTGCCTCAGTTTCCTTATATGTAAAATGGAGATAACAACAGCACCTACCTTCCTGGGTTGTTGTAAAGATCAAATGAGATAATATCTGTAAAAAGGCTTAGCACAGTGCCTGGCACATAGTAGGGGCTATAGTAATGCTTATTCCCTTTCTTCCCTACCTAATCTCCATCCATTTCTAGTACACTGGCTAGGGAAAGAGTGCTAGAAGTGACTGGGAAGGGGTGGGACTGTAGATTTAGGGCTGGAAGGGTCTAACTTCTTTTTTCAGATGAGGAGACTGAGGGACTTAGGATTTATCCTACCCAATTAAATCCTAAAAGAGAAGTTAAATGAATTGTCTGGGAGTCACATAGCTAATTGAGTATCTGAGGTAGGCTTTGAACCTGGGTCTTTCCGACTCCAAGTGTATTGCTTTAGCCATTACACCTTGCTATTTCTCCAAGAGAAGGTGCCTTCTGTCAGGATGAATTTGGATAGGGAAAAAAATACATCTTTATTTTAATTGACCTCTAATTGAAATTCAGCATTTTCTTTCATCATAAATGTGGGCCATAAACCTGATTTGGAGAAGACGTCTTTAGGGGACCCAAACTGCAGAAGGGGTCTGTGACAGCAAAAAGATGAAGAGCCTCTACCTGAGGACTGTCCTTTGGAGGAATAGTCACTGATCTGCATTGATAGAATTTCTTCATTAGGAGTTTCCTATTCAATTAAATCCTAAATCCAGATAATCATAAAACTAAATCTAGAGATGATAAGTTGACATTCCAACACTACTCAATTAAAAAAAGACAAAACCAGTGATTTTATCCAGTTGCGCACGAATCCACAGAACATTAAAAATAAAAGACTAACCATCAGGAGAGTGACTTTTCCTGAAGCTGTTTCTATTTAAACTCCATACCTCCAAAAAGGAGAAAAGAGTAATAATAAAAATAATAGAACTTGAGCCAAGAGGGACAGCCTTGGAGGGAGGAAGACCCTGGGATCCAGACCTTCCTTTGACTCATGATGGCTGGGTGACCCTGGACAAGTCACTCATCCTCTCTGGGATGAAGGCATCTCTGGAAAGACTGTAAATGACAAATGAGGCACACTGGTGGAAGGAGGGTTTTCACATCAGGATCGTGAGTTTGGACTCCCCACATCCCCTAAAATAAAAGTACTTGCAATAACATTCTCCAAGGGGTGCATTAGGGAAAGTGTTTTATAAACCTTAGAGCACTGAAGCGATTAGTTGATCCCTGTGGGGAGCAGGGCTTGGGGTTTTGATATCTTTGATGGTATTTCTCCAGAGACTTGCATCCCATACTCAAACACTCCATTCATGAGGCTCTGAGCTTCTGGGTTTGCCTGTGAGAGTCTGGAGAAGAGGCTTTTGCACTCTTAGGGGGCTTAGGTTACTGGGGCCAACATTCCCACTGGTCTGGGGTCTGGATTGGTGGAGGTCAGAATTTGAATTATAGAATTTCTGAGCTGGGAGGGACCTCAGAAGCCCTCCAGGACAATGTGTATTGAGATAGAATCCTCTCTGAAGCAATCTGACTGTCTGCCCAGCATTGGTTAAAAGACCTTTGGGGCAGTGCCAGGCTCTCGGGATCTCATTTATCAAAGGGCCCATCTAGCTGCCCCTTGGAGGTGCATGGGGTTGAATGATTCAAAAGGACTGGAGTAAGGTAGGGACAGAAGTAAGGCAAGCCGTCCCCTTTCCTTCAATCGTACTCCTTAGGTCCATACCCAAACACCCCGGGGAAAATGAGAATCAGGTAGGGGCATTACCTGCTCTCTGATCTCTCCTAATGGTGCTCCCAGTTTGCTTTTTTGGTTTGTTTTTAGCACCCACCTCCCAAACTGAGGACTCTCTTGGCAAATTGCTTGGCCAGATCCTTTCCCCATTACTTTGGCCACCAGGAGAGGAAGGAGAAGGGAGAGGGGTGGGAGAGAAGTCAAGATTCACTCACCAGGGAGAAGTTGGTCAAGGATGTGGAAGGAATATCCAGAGCCCTCCTGCAAGGGCCAGGGAAAGCACTAACTGTCAAATCTCCAGTCCCCTCCCAAATTTATATAGCCTGGCTGTTCCCAGGGGAGCCAATGGAAGTTTAGAGAGGGCCCCGCCTCCCCTCCTCCCCTGATGCCAGCTCCCTCCCCTCCTCTCCCCTTCTCTCCCCTCAGGAGACCTGTGGAGAGCATACAGTTATCCCTAGGGAAGCCCACAGAGGGTGGGAGGTAGGAGAGGACACGGGGACGGGCAGGGGACTTAGCATTGTGCTAAGGTCTGGGGCTAAAAATACAAAAGTCAGACAGTCCCCTCTTAAGGAGCTCACATTCATTATAATGGGGAAGACCACACATATAAGTCAGATGGAAAGATCCCATGGTCCTTAGGGTGCAGGGACAAACCTGCCTTCCTTAGTGTCATTTCCAGTAATAAAACCCTATCCATTTCTGATACGGAACCATTTGATTGGACAAGATGGCCCCTGAAGGTCTTTCCTCCTTTCAGTATCCTTGAACCAGAGGGGCTCCCGTGAGGTCATCTGGTCTAGCCCCCTCTCATCCATCTACCCCAGACTGGGAGGTCAGCTTAACCTCAAATGAATTCTAATCCATAGCCCCCAGCTTTGTCTGTCCCTATCTCTGTGTCATAGGATCTTGGATCTGGAAGGAACCTGAGAAGTTTACAGATGAAGAAACTGAGGCTCAGAGAGGTTGTAACTTATATAGAGTCACAAGGTTAGTTATCCTCAGAGGTGGGATTTGAATGCAAGGCTTATAATTTCAGAGCACGGGCTTGGCCCCCTCTTCCTTTCTCTTTCTCCATTTTTCTGTCTATCTATATCTTTGTCTCTCTGTTTTTCCCTCTGTCTACATCTTTGTCTGTGCCCCTCTGTCTTTCAAAACACACACACACACACACACACACACACACACACACACACAGCAGAGTTTGGCCCTTCAGACAAAGCCTCCTTGAGTCAGATAGCCGTGGCTGGGGCTCCAGCCAGGGTGCAGCGCCGAAAGCCGGGACCAGAATGATGATGTGGTGGACAAGGCAGTCGAGAAGAAAACAAATCCCCAAAGTCTACTCTTTCCCATGGACAGTGTGTCCCACGGCTCAGCAGCCGCAGAGCTACACTCAATCTGTAGGACCCAACAAGAAAAAGTGGAGCACTTCCCCGTGGAATTTCTTTGGCTTCCCATCCTCCCTCCCTGGAGAAGTTTTCTGCAGGGAAGGGGAAGATAGAGAAACCACAACTGGCCAGCTCTGATCACCTGTTTGTTTCGTGGCTGAGGCAATGGAAGGGTGTGTGTGTGTGTGTGTGTGTCTTGGTGGGGGGATGTTTGCCTTGTCAATGGTGTTGAACCAGTCTCCTTCACTGTGCATACAGCTCACCCCACTTCCTGCACTCCCTTCCTGTAGCCTTCAGAGATTGCCTCAAGGAAGAGACTTTATAGGGGCAGGGAGTAAGAAGAAGGGCTAGGAATTATGGGAGCTTTAGGGAGGCCTCACTGGATGAAAGAGCTTGAGAATTGGACCCTGTTATATTTCATAGGCTCGTAGCCTTAGAGCTGGATGGGAACTGTGAGGTGATTTAACCCAATCCCCTCATTTTACAGATGAGGAAACTGAGGCCCAAAGCAGCGAAGTCAGTCAGTCAATAAACATTTAAGAGACTGCCAGGCACTGTACCAAGCTCTGAGGATACACAAAGAGGCCAAATGGAGTGCCTGCCCTCAAGGAACTTACAATCTAATGGCAAGTGACTTGCTAACATCATACTGAAATCCCATTCATTTTTATAAAATCCCTTGATTAGGCAGAGGCAATCAGGACTTTGTCTCATCAAACAAATAAAGAAAATGAGGCACCATGGAGGACAGGAACTTGTGCATAGTCACATGGCAAGGGCAGGAAAAGAAATCCAAGCTTTTAGACATATTAAAAAGAGATAGTGTCTAGAATGAGAGAAGAATTCCGCTGTACTCAGCTCTGGTCAGACCACTTTTTCAGTATAATGTTCAGTTCTCTGGGTACTGGGAAGGACATTGATAGCCAGAGAGTGTCCAGAGGAGAGCAGCTAGGGTGAACAAGGGCTTTCCAACTATGACATATTGGTTGAAGGCACTGGGGATGTTTAGCAGGAGAAGACTTGGGGGCAACATGAGAGTTGTTTGCAAGTCTTTGGAGGGGGGCTGTTACCTAGAAGAAGGGAGGACTAGTAGCAGTGGGAGGAAGAGTCAATGTAGCCTAGATGTAAGGAAAGATTTCCTACTAATGAGACACCTCCCATGGGGAAAAGGGCTGCCCTGTGTGATGTTGGCTTCCTCCTCAATGGAGGTCTTCAAGTAGAGACTGGATGGCCAGTGACTAGGGACATTATAGAGAGGATTGTGTTCAGGTCTAGGTTATGCTAAGTGGCCTGAGTGTTCTTCCAAATCTGAGATGCTATGATTCTGATTTGGAATTTCCTTCTCATCTTCAGTTAGACTCTGGGATTTTTCTTTGAAAGACCTGATGGAAAGATGGTGTCTTATGGGTGTAGATGAAGGATAACTCACTAATCATGGCCAATATGTGAGTTTGTTTTACTTAATTTCTCTTCCTTCCTTCCTTCCTTCCTTCCTTCCTTCCTTCCTTCCTTCCTTCCTTCCTTCCTTCCTTCCTTCCTTCCCCCCCCTTCTTTCTTTCTTCTTTTGTTTTGGAGATCAAGTGTCCCTATCTCAGGGTACAAGTGAAGCTACCCTTTATGGGCCCAGTCCCAAGGTCATGGGGTCTTTGGCCTGGTCTGTTTCTCACCTGGGCCAGTTCATCCTTTCTTAGCTAATTTGGTGTGGCTCCTTGCTACTGAGGACTCAAGATAATGGGTGCCAGACTTAGTGTGGATTTCCTATCAGCCTAGCCCTCTGTAGCTCAGAAGTCCCAAGCTCAAATCATCCAGCAAACCCTAGCGTCCGCTAGTATCAGGAGTTTCAGGCATGTTCTACCAATCTGGAATTAATTGAACTTTCACATCACAAGAGAGTGTTCTACTGGGGCTGCGCCTGTCCTTGGGACTCAGTTTTCTTATCTTGAAATGAGAAGATTGTACCTTCCATCTCCTCATCCAAGGTTCCTTGGAGTTCTATATCTATAATCTTCTGATCTAGAGTACTGGGTGATTCTGTCCACATTCTGCCCAAGACTGGACCCCCATCTGTGGCTTCAGTAGTCCAAGGCAGATGCCACCTTCACTGTTGCATATAGAACAAAAACCAGTAAAATGAGGGTCTCTAACCTCTCTCCCCCAGCCCTCTGGATACACGTTTTATACTCTCTGTGCATTCGTGACACATCACATAGTCCATATCACAGTGATTAACCACATATATGTGTATGTATACACACACATGTATTCGCATATATGAGCATGCACATATATACTCACATATGTATGTATATACATATATGTAAAACTATACATAAATGTTAGCCAATACATATATATGTACACACACATATATACATACATAATACACACACATATCTTATGTGTCCCTTCAAGCAGAACATAAGTTTCTTATGGGCCTGGGACTGAGTTTTTTTTTTGCCAATCTTTTTATCTTCAGCACCTAACTCAGTAGTTTGTATACAGTGGGCAACTGGTAAATATTTATGAAATTGAATGAGGAAATTTTTGCTTGTGTTTTTCCTACAGTCACACAGCCAGTTGATGTGAAAGAAGAGATTCTAATGCCCAAATATCATTTTTTGAGCATTTCTGAGAGGACCAAACATTCATATATAATCATGCTCTGAAAGTTGTTGGGAGTCAGGAAAGGGGTTATGTTCTCCCGTTTAACACATGGAGAAAACTGAGGCACAGAAATGGTCAGTTGTTCAGTTCGTGACCCTGTTTGGGGTTGTCTTGGCAAAGAGCCTTGCCTCAAGGTGGCTTAGGGGTAGTAGAGTCTAACTGGTGACCAAACTCAGTGCCCAGCTTGGAGCCTCAGACTTGCTGGATGTAGCAACAATCCTAGGCACTTTGGGGTTTTTCTCTGAGCCTCAGTTTCCTCTCATCAAGAGGACTACCATCAAAAATGAAGGAGGGTGCAAAACCTCCTGGTCTCCCTGAAAGCTGCAGCTCCCCCCTCCCCCAAAGGCTCTGTTGTGACAGAGACTCCAGGTCACCTATCTGTCTGCCCTACTTACGTCACCCATTTCCCTGGGCTTCCTATCTTCCTATTTTGATCTGTGTGTCCTTGGCTCAGGAGATGGTGGGAATTTTGACGCTTGTTTTCCCAGATCTCTGAACACTCAGATCTCTGTTCTGTTTGTCCTTTCCAGAAGGGCTGGCTTGAAGTAAGGCTGTGAAGTAGGCAGGGGTTATCTATGTGGTTCTTCCTTCCCTCCTTCCCTCCTCCCTTCTCACCTTCCTTTGTTTCTTCATTCATTCTTTTCTTCCTTCCTCCCTTCCCTCTCTCCTTCCTACCATCCTTCTTCCTTCCTTCCTTCCCTCCTTCCTACCATCCTTCTTCCTTCCTTCCTTCCTTCCTTCCTTCCTTCCTTCCTTCCTTCCTTCCTTCCTTCCTTCCTTCATACCATCCTTCCTTCCTTCTTCCTTCCTTCCTTCCTCCTTCCTTCCTTCCTTCCTACCATCCTTCTTCCTTCCTTCCTTCCTTCTGTCCTTCCTTCCTTCCTTCCTTCCTTCCTTCCTTCCTTCCTTCCTTCCTTCTAGCACTTCATTTGTCTTCATGAAGAAAATGGTCTGTAAAATGGGCATAACAATAGCACCCAACTCCAAGGGTTATTGTGAGTATCAAATGAGACAATAATTGTAAAGTTCTTTGCACAGCTTCTGGAACAAGCTCCATATAAGTATTAGTTATATTATTACTATTTGGACAGAGTGGGTAGTGGCAGAGAAGCAAATCTAGGCTTGACATCAGGAAAACTTTATAACCATTAGGTCTGTCCCAGTGCATTGGAGGTAGAACCCCTCCCTTGAGGTTATTCAAACGTAAATGCAATGACCACTTTGATGGGAATGGCCCAAAGGTGATTCTT